TTTATTTACTTTTCCGGTTTATGAAAGGAAACAGAAGAATTAATTCAGGCAAGCCATGTACTAACCATTAAGAGGTAATGTATTTGAAAGCGCTTGAGTGAACCTGTCCCAACTGCTTTCCATGTAGCGGTTGCGAATATCTAATATGAAGATTGAGGTCATACCAGGAAACTAGACAGATATCTCGATTGGAACCCATAAAAATGTGTCAGCGCACGGTTTGTACCTTCACGAGTAAGTGACCCGTTCTTGTAAACCAGCATTACCATGTACCCCTTTGTGTCAACAGGGTTGGGGAAAACATTTCCTTCCAAGCTAGGTTGAAGATCATCAGCAATCCAATTCAGCTGAGCAACAGATACGAGTAAATGAGAACAGGAGATATCGGTAAGAATCCAGAGTAACTTCAATAGTAAATTACGTAGAAGAAACCATTGAGAATAGAAACGGTATCAAGAAGATCCGAATTTCAACTTACGGTGTCACTTGTGCCAAGACTGATTACTAGATCCCCTGGGGTACTTACGGTTAAACCTGCAGCTCCAACAAAACTAAATCATACGACAGCACCCTCACTATATGAAATGATAAACTACAACAACCAACAGCAGAACCATGAAGGATCTAAAGAGATTTCACCAGTTCATCAGAAATTTAGAAATATTAGCAACATATTAAGTGATTTAAAAGAGTTCGGTTATGGAAACTTGAAAATCAGGCACCTGCCACACTGTTGAGGTTGTCTCCTGTCCACAGAATAACCAAACAATTCTTGTTGAAGCGAAATCTGGAACGAGATTGAAATTTCTTATCTGTTAGGGACATATTTTCAGACAGAAAGTATACATGTAACTACAGTGGCTGCAGACTCAAATCATGACCATGGTAGCATAACTCCGTTCAATACAGACAAGTTTTTGATGACAAACTTTCATGATCATCCACATTTTCAGGCTTATTATTTGAAAAGTTATGCAGGATACAACTACCACACGACTTTATCGCTCCCTGTGTGATATTTAAAATCTTTGTATCACTTTGTGATATCATAGTCGTTTTTTCCTATTTGATAAGTAGAACTTGGATACTATAGATTAAGTTGATTTTGAAATGGGAGAAACCATAGGTTTTTAGCCTTTCAAGTACCATGTAAATCCCTAAACCCTACACAAAAGCGCTTATCCAAAAACGGCAAAACATATAAGATCATAAAAATGGACTGCGCAAACTACGGTTGTCCACTTCCTGGTTTCAGAGGCGCATTCCATTTCTTAAGAATACCATCCCATGGGTCCATTTGGTTTGCTATTTTATTTAATTACTTCACCCTAATGCAGGCTTATGTCAACAATTTTTTTCTTTTGTGGCGCACGTAGTTTATTTTGTCCCTCATGAAAATTCTAACACAGCATATAACGATCTATGTCAAGAGAATGCTACAAGAGTGCCACTGACCTGTCCAGAAAATAGGGAGCAATGTGGCCAGCAACAGAATGGGCAGGAGCTATCTTTCCAAGTTTTTCCTCCAGACCAGGGGCAGTGGCCTTCAATTAACATCAAGCACCAAGAAAATTAATCAAACTAGAAACAGTAAACTGATAACGTTACTCAGAGGTAACACTCACTCCAAGAAAAAGCGAGAAACTTAACAAGATCAGAGAAACATAATTAACAAGGAAAATTTACTCTTAAAATATGACAGACCTCTAAAAGTTTCTTAGACCAGGCCCTTTTCTTTATATCCATCAAGTTCATCCCTGCACCGTCGGACTCATCAATACAAGCATATTTCCCTATCAGAAGAGATGCCATAAACGAACTAACCAGGGAGATCCTCTCAGTGTTTTTGTAAGCTTCAGGATGTGTCTCGAATATCTTCTTAATCTGTGGGCCTGTGAATCTTTCATAACTGCGTGAACCCGTAAGTTGGGATAACTCCAATGCTCCACCAGCAACCTTCTCTAACTTTCTACACTGTGCTGTGGTGGTGCTGTCCATCCATATTGGCGATTCATTTACTGAAAATGCTCCTTTAAACTGATCCACGAATGGCTTCTTGGGGTCCAATGATGACAATAGCGAAGAACTTCCATTCTTCCAATAGACACTGCCATGTTGCTGTCCACTGCCGGAAACAGCAGCAATTTTCCCAAAATCCAAATTTGAGCTGGAAAGCTTTCTAAGCACAAGATCTAGAGCTTCCACCCACATCAAGGTGGGTGAAACAATTCTACCATTAACCGAAGGGTCCCGGTAGACTCCGTCTTTGGTTTTGTAATGGGGCAATTCAGTGTCAAATTGGACAAGCTCTGTAGTAACAACGTTGAGATTGGAGTCTAGCACAGTTGCCTTCAGAGACCTTGTAGTAGAAAGTTAGAAACCAATAACAATTACTAAAACAAAATCATGTTTTACCCAATTCAGATTACCAAGCATCCAGAGAATCATATTCCCATATGAAATTTAATTTCACAGTAAGACAATGAGAACCCACAAAACATTAACAAGTAACAATCAAGTTTTACCCAATTCAGATTACAGGGGATACTAATTGACTTATCATGGACTGCAGTAAAACAATGAAAACCCACATCTATAACCATGTAAGAATGTGAACTTGTGATGTGGGTAATTCTGATTTCATGAGCAGCATCAAGAAAGATATGAAATTGGAGGGAGAAAGAGTGAGGGAATGGTAACTTACTGAGTCGAACTGTCAAACCCAAGAAAATAGGAATCCTTGGGGAGAGAGTAATCTGCCATTGGATAAGTCAAACCCAAGTCTGATGGCTTCTGCTTCAAGAAAATTGGAAGCCTCGATTGTAACAAAGTTGGTGACGAGTGAAACGGAGATTGGTAACGTAAATGTATTGAGTCGACACAAATCCGGTAAGGAAATTTTAGCGGCAAAGGATAATTAGGAGAAGAGGATTAGAGGACGATAAAGGTTACTGCTATCGCATGTTTTTTTAAAACCAATTGATAATATGAACCAATTTACTGATAAGGTTTCTCTTCCCATCAATATGAAAATTTTCAAAAGCGCGTGTGACCAATTGCCTTCATACACGTGGGACAACCTGTTCTGATACCATGAAAAAAGTTAAAATTCCACCATATAACCATCGATAATATCAGGAATAACCCAACTTATTTATAAGCTCATGCAAAGTCTTCCTCTCATCAACAATATATGAGATTGATTCTCAACACTTACCAATATGATATTTTTTTCAACGATTATTTTCAATCATCTTTCAATCACATGCCGACCCAACATTTATATTTTCAATAATATATTCTTTATTTTATTTTTTATCAACAATAATAGATAAGAGTTGTCAACATTAGCTAGTTAGTAATTTAATACGACATTAATAACTTGTAACAAATCTTAACCCACAATGTAGTCTAGGAGTTGAAAAGTTCAACCAAATCAAAACTAGTTTAGCCCTTTCAAGTATTGTTGCGAATATTTCATTATTTATCCATTCATCTATTTATCAAGTCATAAGATTACTAAGCGACTTTCAATTTTATTAAATTTTTGTATAAATGATATTTTAATGAAACCTACAATATAATTAATTTAGATTATAAAAAAATATTATAGATTAGAGTCTATAGAGTAGAGTTAAATAAATGATTAGCGCCTTAGTAAAGCACTAAAATAGACATAATTTAACAATAATGGTGTAAAAGAAAAAAAATGCATGAATTTCATTTCCTAAAAATCATCACGTGCGGGACACCCTTTGTCATGCACAGCTGCTAAAAGGTTTTCATGAGATGGAAGTGGAAGGGGATTCCAAACTTGTCATTGATGCAGTTAAGAAGAATAAGTGCGGGATATGATGTAGTAAACACCCACATTTGGTATGCTACTACGACATGGGGCCTATCATGCTTTTTAGGGACTAAGCCAGAAATTATGTTGAATGAGGGCATTTGAAAACAATAAAGTAACATTAAAATTAACAAATATGGTAAAAATCAGACTACTTAGTAGTCTAGATTACTAATATCATCGAATATGGTTACTTTTATATGTAACCATGCTATCATTTATATTTGATCTCCCATCTGTTTTCACGATCATTCTATAATTTTTGGGGGTCTTTCTATGTAGGTGGTCTTTAATCCTGAATGAGGTATTGTCAATATGACAAGATTATGTTATTTCATTGAACTGGTTTCGATTTGGGTGTATTACTTGGTGTAAGATTTTCTCTCCTCCTAATCCCCTCCCCATCCCTCCCCTCCTCTTACACTTTTTTTCTTTTCTTTCTCTCTATAATTTATAAGCATGGATGAATTAAACGTACTTTTTTTTTTTTTAACAAATGATATTGTCTACACTAAAAGGAAGGGGATGGAATTAGTCTCACAATATGGTTCAAATTCGCATTTGGCGAAAATCGAACCTAATATCTCTCACTTACAAGTGAAGAGAAATACTACTAGATCGTAGTACTAAGTAACAACCTACTTTAATTAGATAGATTAAGTCTTTGAGTTACTATATGTCAATTAATAGTAATATTAATTTATAACATTTTTTTTTTTACTTTTGTAAAATTATTAATTATCGTTTACACTTTGCATGAAATTAAATGTGTAAAAAAAATAAAATTCAAAGAGGCGTATTTTAGGCATTCAAAAAAAAAATTTAAATAGTAAAATCAAACATAATTAATAAATTTGTTAATATGAAAGTAGTCAATGAGCTTTATTTGAGTAACAATTAATATCAATTCTTATGTAAAGAATTAAATTTGAGGGGCTAAATCATATTTTGAATACTTCTTTGGCCATATATATGTTCAAGAGTTTGGTTATTTTATAGTTACCCATTCCCAGTTCATAAGTTCAAAACGGAAACATGAAATTACCAGATATGAAAAGTTATAAAGACAAACTTGCTCTCAATTGAGTTCCTCCATATTTTCCACCGTTAGTTTCTTCCCCTTCGGTCTCTATCTCTCCATTAATTTTCTGAGATGTTGATTGTTAAGAAGCCAAGGCTTGAAGACCCCCGCTTCATCTTCCCGGAGAAGCAAACTATTGGCGTGGCGGACGGAGTCGATGCCCGTGCCGGTGACTACGCAAGGGAACAGATGATGCTGACGGAAGCTACTTCGAGTTTATTAATGTTGAAGTACGTAAACTACTATGGTATCATCGACAACAATAATTGCCATGGTCAAGAAACAAAGAGAAACCTGCACGAGATGGTTTGTGGGTCGGTTTATCTTCCCAAGGATGACAAGTTAGGCGAAGACGCTCACTTCATCTGCCCGGAGAAGCAGAATATCGGCGTGGTGGACGGCGTCGGTGGTTGGGCCAAGAAATGCATCGACGCGGGTCATCAGTACGCGAGGGAACTCATGAACAATGCCTTTATCGCCGTCCATAATCCGAATAACATCAACGTACAGAAAAGAAAAAGAAAGGTCGCGGATATGATCGGAGCCGTTGATCCAAGAAAAGTGCTGCTGGAAACTGATGCTAAGACCAAGGAGAAGGGCTCGTCGACTGCTTGCATCCTCAGCCTTAACAAAGAGAGCTGAGTCTTGCATGCTGTGAACGTTGGAGACAGTGGGTTCTTGCTATTTAGGAACAACAAGGTTGTGTACCAATCTCCAACTCAACAACGCAGGTTAAACTGTCCATATCAGTTGGGGAATGGCATCAGCAGTGACCGCCCTGATTCCGCTTGGGAGGAGTGCATTCAGACAATCCCCGGAGACATCGTAGTGCTTGGGACTGATGGCTTGCTGGACAACATGTTTCCAAGTGAGATTGAGAAGGTTCTCGTACAAGGTGGTGGTGGTGATCATGATCTTGATCTTGGTTGTGGCGCGTTGGCTTCAAGCATCGCCAATCTAGCTCTCTATAACTCGTTTGATAAGCACAACAACCCTAGCCCTTTTTCAGAAAACGCTAGAAAGGCTGGGTTCGAGCACAAAGGAGGCAAGATCGACGACATTACTGTTATTGTTGCTCAAGTTGTGGCTTTGTAGTAGACTGGCTAGCATTAGCTAATAGTATTCATATGTAATTACAACTTAGTTCCACGGATGAATGAAAATTTTGTTCTTCTGTTAATCGAGATGTATGTTTTTGTTTGTTATTAATATGAATGAAAATTGTTCTTGTATTGATCAAAATTTTACGTACATTAAGTCTTTCAATTAACCTTACTTTAGGTTTTGCATGTCATGACATGCATTATGCCCGACATTTTTGCGAGACTTGACGTTTCATAATGTTAAGTCTTCCTCCATTTCTTTTGTCATGAGCCTTCCTCTCATAATTTCATCTTCTAACCAGAGCATTTATAGATTCGGTTCATGTGTCTAAATCACCTTAACTAATTTTCTCTCATCTTATCTTCAATCACGACCACTCCTACTTTAATTCAAATGTCCTCATTCTTAATCATATCTTATCGTGTGCTCACATATTTAACGAAGCATTCTCATCTTATCGTGTGCCAACAATTCATCTTGTCAGAAATAGTTTCTAAGCATGTGGAGATAATGAATTAAACGTACTTTAATTAGATAATGCTAAGTCTTTGAGTTACTATCTGTCAATTATTAATAATAGAAAAACACTCAAATCCGAAATCCTTTAAACCACGGAATGAAATGGTAGCTGATAATGTTTTCTTGAACTACCTTTTTCGGCCATCTTTTTACTACTATTTATCGTTTTGGATTTGTCCCAACTTTTTGCAATATTGATCCACTAAACCCTAAAGAGAAGGAAACTCTAAGATTATGTATAAAAATGCTAAAATTACGAAGCAATAACTTGCTGTGGTGTAGTGGTTTTTTATTTTATATATATATATATATATATATATATATATATATCTGTGTGCAAAATATTACTTACATATATATGTAAAAGATAATTTTCTTGACTTAATTAAGTATGTATTATTACACACACGCGCGAGCGCACACATACACACACACATATATATATATATATATATATATATATATTAGGCATGTTTTATCTTTATATATTAAGCAATGAAATTATAACATTAATGTTTTTTTTCTTTTTTCTTTTTGTAAAATCATTAATTATCCTTTACAATACGCATGGACTTAAATGTGTACAAAAACATTCAAATAGGGTATTTAGGCATCCGAAATTTTTTAAATATGTAAAATCATGATGTGGAAGCAAAACAATAGGTTTTATTTGAGTAAATAGTAATTTTTTTTTTATATATAAAGAAAATCAAGTTTCAAGTCATATTCTGAATACTGATTTGCTATATTCATGAGTTTGGTTATTTTATGGTTTCCCATTCCCAGTAGGAAAAGGAAACCCATTTCCAGTTCGAATAGGAAACTTGAAATTACCAGTTATGAAAAGTTATAAAGACAAAGTTGCTCTTAGTTGAGTACCCCATATTTTCCACTGTTAATTTCTTCCCTCTCTGTCTCTCTTTGTCTCTATCTCTCCATTATCTAAGATGTTGATTGCTAAGAAGCCAAGGGTTGAAGAACCTCGCTTCATCTGCCCGGAGAAGCAAACTAATGGCGTGGCGGACGGCGTCGGAGGTTGGACCAAGGGAGGCGTCGACGCCGGTGACTACGCAAGGGAGCAGATGATGCTGACGGAAGCTGCTTTGAGTTCGTTAATGTTGAAGTACGTAAACTACAATGGTATCATCAACAATAACAATTGCCATGGTCAAGAAACAAAGAGAAACCTGCACGAGATGGTTTGTGGGTCGGTTTATCTTCCCAAGGATGACAAGTTAGGCGAAGACGCTCACTTCATCTGCCCGGAGAAGCAGACTATCGGCGTGGCGGACGGCATCGGCGGTTGGGCCAAGAAAGGCATCGACGCGGGTCAGTACGCGAGAGAACTCATGCACAATGCCCTCATCGCCGTCCATAATCCGAATAACATCGACGAACAGAAAAGAAAAAGAAAGGTCGCGGATATGATCGGAGCCGTTGATCCAAGGAAAGTGTTGCAGGAAACTTATGCTAAGACCAAGGAGAAAGGCTCGTCGACTGCTTGCATCCTCAGCCTTAACAAAGAGAGCGGAGTCTTGCATGCTGTGAACGTTGGGGACAGTGGGTTCTTGCTATTTAGGAACAACAAGGTTGTGTACCAATCTCCAACTCAACAACGCAGGTTCAACTGTCCCTATCAGTTGGGGAACGGCATCAGCAGTGACCGCCCTGATTCTGCTTGGGAGGAGTGGATTCAGACAGTCCCCGGAGACATCGTAGTGCTTGGGACTGATGGCTTGCTGGACAACATGTTTCCAAGTGAGATTGAGCAGGTTCTTGTACAAGGAGGTGGTGGTGATCGTGATCTTGATCTTGGTTGTGGTGAGTTGGCTTCGAGCATCGCCAATCTAGCTCTCTATAACTCGTTCGATAAACACAGCCCTAGCCCTTTTTCAGAAAACGCTAGAAAGGCTGGGTTCGAGCACAAAGGAGGCAAGATCGACGACATTACCGTTATTGTTGCTCAAGTTGTGTCTTTGTAGTAGACTAACTAGCATTAGCCAATAGTATTCACATGTAACTACAACTTAGTTCCACGTATGAATGAAAATTTGTTCTATTAATCAAGATGTATGTTTTTCTTTGTTATTAATATGAATGAAAATCTTGTTTACATAAAGTCTTTCAATTAAACATACTTTAGGTTTTGCATGTCATAACATGCATTATGCCCGACATTTTTGCAAGGCTTGGTGTGTAATGACATGCTTTCCGACATGCATTAATTTTACGATGCTTGGCATGTCATGACATGCATTTTGCGACACTTTGCGAGGCTTGGTATGGTACTGGCATGTCATAACATGCATTATGCCGACACTTTGCAAAGCTTGGTATGCCATGGCTTGCATTCTGCCATCATTTTTGCTAGTCTCGAAATGTCACTGAGATGTCCTTGGTCTGGCATTGCGTGTCATAGGGAAGCCGTTGGCGTGCCATGGCATGTGAGAGAGTGGTCTTGTCATGTCATGGGGAAGCCGTTGCATGTCGTTGGCATGTCATCTCGTGGCATTGGCATGCCTTCGGCTTGTAATATTGTGGTTACTGGCATGTTACGGGCATTTTTAGCTTGGCCAAAGCACTAACAAACACTGCTTTCTTAGACCATGAAATGTTTCGACATGAACCCCAAGATTTTACATTAAGCCTTTGAGTTCAGATTCATGCTGCAGAATGCATTCCTGAAAATGTTGGGTTCCATCCAAATTGGGAAAAGTTTTACTTACTTATCAAGAGTCAAACAATACCTCTACATGAATGGAAACAAGGCTGAATGTAAGGCGTAAATAACATTATCAAGGAATATGCCATTAAGAGACTGCATGAATTGATGTCTCTCCACGTCGAATGTTCCATCAGATGCATACAAGGCCACAAATCTGGCTCCAAATAAGCTCATGCTCGAGAACTTGGAAGTTTGTGTGCTAGTAACATGAATGAGTTAAAACAGTTATGCGTAGGTGACTTACCGGATGGATCTCTAGGCAATCTGACGTTTATTGGAAGTGAACAAGCGTCGCACCTTTGCGAATGCACTTCTCCATTCAAACTTGTCCGATGGGCTCAAATTGGAGCAAACTGTCATGGGAAAATGCAGAGAGATGAAACTGGAGGATCTAACGGCACTGGGAAAACATATGGAATGGCACCGGCCAACACGCGAAGTTCCATAATCTTAAGATCTTGACAGTTGCATGGTGTATCAAACTTAAAAGCATCTTCACAGCAGATGTGTCTCGGTGTCTTTTGCAACTGGATCAATGCTGGCACCATAAAACGAGTTCATCTAAACGGAAAATTTAGCCTCAAGTATTAAATCACGAGATTCGTAACTCGGAATATAAGTACATAAATTTCTCAGCACGGAGATAATGATGATGATATCAAAGTGTCACGACAAGATGAACAAGAGAAACTGCAAAAGGATAATAACTGTAACATAATCTTACTACTGCACAACTAGTTAAATTTTGCAAGTTCCATTCCCGGTCGCTACTGCCTGCTTAAAATACACGATCCTTTGACGGGAACTGGATCAAAAGCAAAATTATAGAATCTCATTAGCCTAGAATATGCATAATGCTTACAGCTTTCTCTACTTTTCTTAAAACTCACAAGCAGCCTCGCTTGGATACTAATAAGATAGTATGCTCCACGGGCTATTGGCATTCCTAGAAACTTCACATTGAGCCAATGGCACAACTTCTACCCGTAAATTGAGTTCTAAAGCTGAAAACTTACAACAGCCCATGTCTTCAATCATTTGCTCGTCCTCAATGTGGCGAAGGACGTGATGCTACCATGAGAAGGATGTGATGCCAATGGCACAACTTCTACCCGTACATTGAGTTCTAAAGCTGAAAATTTACAACAGCCGATGTCTTCCTCACATGGTCTTTCCAGTGGAGGTAGTGAGATAACCACATAAAGAAGGGCAAGAGAAGAAGCTGCATTGCCAGCAACGGCTGCTCTACCGAAATAGGTCAGGGAAAGACCACATGATGAATCTTGCAAAAATGTCGGACTCCAAAAACTCAATATGAGCAGCCCTTCCTATGAAGGTGTTCAAGTTCTTTCCATACAATGAGGTATCAAAGTTGATGTCACAACGCATGAACACTCGATTCTCAGACTGAGGAGCCCGTATCTGGTCCAAGCAATCATTCAGCATTTCCAGAAACACTTTTCCCTTCCTTGAGAAATCCAATGAAGCAGCCTGGCACATATCTATTCTAGCAGAATGGTAGGGAACATAACCGTCCTACAAAACACAATTAATAATATTATGGGTATCAGAGAAAATTATAACAAATTATTAAAGAAAATTTCTTTTCTGTTACAAGAAAAAGTTTCACTCTCCATTGGAATAACATAGATATCATGAAAATAAATTTTCCTCAAAAAACCATAATTAGAATATGAAGAGCAAAGAAGTTTCATGAGATTCTAGCTCTTCCATTTTGGTGCTAGTAAATCACTGCATTTTCTAAGACATCGACCTTTGTAAACTGAAAGGTACCCTTCAATACAAGTGTTTCTATGACACGTCAAAATGTACAAAGAAACGAAAGTGGTATAAAGAGTTCCTCCCAAGAAAACATTAAATCTTTCAGCATGAAGAGCAAAAGCAAAGAAATAGTGCATGTTGTCTTCATAATGTAGACCATGGTCATTATGAAAGCATGAATAGTTCAGTAATGTCAAAATCTAGCATAATGATCATGTTTTGGAGCCACAGAACGAACTACAAAATAGGGTTTTAAGAGTCCTAGTTCACCAAGGTCCATAGAGTACTGCTCACATGAATGATGACTGAATGAGCACATTGAGTTTTTATTAGTTGAGCACTAGGATAAAAGTCTACAGGTTGAGGATGGATGACAAACAAGTCTATTCTTTTTTGGTCAGTATAATAAGCGAGTAAGATGGCAATTGATTTTTACGAGATCGTAGGTGCTCAAACTGTCAAACATAGTGGCTCACATGAGAATTTAGGGTCCGTGGATAGACCAATTGCATGTCTCACATTAAACTTGGTGGAAAACAGCAGAGTTGAAGCAACCAAAACAATGTGTCAGTTAAGTTTAATTAAGTAAACTAGGTCATGAAGCCCCAGGGAAGAGATCAAAATACCTGTGGTGAAGATAACAGGACTATGTGCTTGAAATTCTCAAGTGTCTTCTTCTGCAAAAAGAATTACTTCAGAACATCAGCAAAAATAAACACATCACATTTGTCAACCATTTTTTCTTAAACCAAGTTATAATTATAAAAATGCAGAAGTCATGTTTGCCTCGACTTTGAATCACAGAAAAATGTATCGAGTATGCAATGTCATGATTTGCTTACATTTCCCAAGATGATGAGCAGCTATCAGGCAAACACCTCAATGGCTGAGCTAAATGCATTAAATAAAGGAATTCTCAGTACCTTACACAGCTTGTAAAAGAACGTATTTTGAAGATCTGGATCATCTGTGAAGGTAAGCTGATGAATGCACTGTGTGTTCTTGAGCTTCTTCAAGAGCCACAACCCAGAGCTGAATAAAGAGTTTGAACAGTATAGATACCCCAAGTGTGGGCCCGATATAGAAAGATATATGTACAGGTATCTTAGGAATGGTTCCATAATGCTATCTGCAAAAACAATGGCCAATATCTTACACCAACTGCATATAATGGGAAAACATGATGTCAATAATTTAATACCTGTTAGTGCCGTTCTTATGATAACATTCCCAATAGAATGTCCCACAAAGCTAAGCTTAATATCAGCTATGCTTCCGGATCTCGAAACTTTATCCATTTTCTTCTTGAGGAAAGAAACTACTTCCTGGGCCAACCTTTGTCCCATTTCTCTGAAGTCACCAGATGTTTTGTCTTCATTTGCCTCTGACATTAGAAACTCTACCTTGGGATCTATCAATAGCCATTGATTTCGAATAAGCCGTAAATCCAAGTGATGCCCCTGTAGTGTGAGAATTGAAATAAGCATCCACTAATCTGTCTTAATAAGGTTCTAAAAGATGCTAGGCGCTAGTTGGGCGGCGGGCTGGGGCCTAGCGCCTAGACGGCTAAGCAGGCTCCTAGGCAAACTAGGCGGATTTAAGTAAATCTACTATATTTCTTGTAAAGAAGTGTCTGTTTACTTTATACTTAAAATATATGCAATTTCATCAAAAACTACAAAATAGAATGCTATATATATTATGAAGTATTGGAACATAATGAAAACATGGGGAACAAGCATATAATGTGTGTTTATTTAAGTTTTCAACAAGTCTCTTACAATTTATTGAAAAAAATAAAATGCAAATGAAAGTTATCTATTTTCTTCTAAGTGAGTCACAACCTAGGTGGGTGCCTGGGCGATCTAGGCAGGTGCTTCAGCAGGTCTAGGTGCCCTTTCTTAATTTTCAAACGCCTAGGCATTAATCGGGACGGTGACTAGCCACCTAGCGCCTAGGTGGGGCCTAGGCGGGGATTTTTAGAACAGTACAAAGTACAAATGAATAGACTTATGCAGCTGTTCGATCAACAAAACTGGTATGAAGTTGTAAACTTGCAGCATAAAACATGAATGACCAATAAATAAATATATCAACCCACAAATCACTAACGTTTAACTATCTTTAAGAATCGAAATATATAAGACTAACACAACCAACAACGTCTAAGATCACTACATATGCAAAGTATTGTGAACCTCCATATACATAAGTTATTACAAATAAATAGCAAGTTTTAACCTAAATTCAAATTGATACCTTGACAAGTTCAAAATTGTGAGTATTTCTACTTTAAAAAATAAAAATAAAAAAAAGTCCATCACACATGAAATACTGGAGGGGAGCAAGGAAAGAATAGAGGAAACGACGAAATATAATAAAATTAGGGGAAGCTATAAGAGAACAAAACTAGCCTGAAAGCCATGCACAAAGACGACAAGCTTTAAAACACGGCCTTTCTTTGGTGAGATAAAGTCAGATTTCTTGTTTATGGAGTCAGAGCCAGATCCAGAGAGTAAGCCAGGAGAGTTAATCACGTCCAAGTTTCTCAAGTACGAATTTTCACTAGTTGTACGCCTAGGCGCATTCAACACACGTTCCACAATGACAATAGGAATTCTTGATGGATCTCCAAATAAATGCATGTCTTGAATTGACCGATTGTTAATCTGAATTTAAAATTTTGGTTTAGAAAAAAAAGAATCCAAGAGGACTGACAATACGGCACTTCATCTGAAAGCAATGACTCACCTTCATTTGCGCAATACTTCGCCGATGAAGCTCAGCACGGGTAGCAGCAGTCTGGGCAGGCTGTACAGAACACAAGTCAGATCCATAAAAGATCGATTGAAGAATCTAAATTTGGCTCATAACTGAACTCTGCACAAGGTACATGGAACACCCCCTTGACATTTCTTAAAACATGTTGGACAATTTTTCTTTCATAACTAAAAAATCATGTGGAATACTTACATCATCGGTTAATTTCCACATAGGTGAAAGTCTTTTATGGCCACCATTGTGGGAAGACTCTTCACCCCCACTACTATTCAGAAAATGATGAGGCATCTCAACCTTAGAGTAAACCATCCATATTGACCACTCAGCTCTTCTATCCTTCGCCCACGTGTCACGCAAGTATTCCAGTATCTTTGTTTTGTTAAACCTGCAATGAATAAATATCACCATACAAACGTACAGAAGATCTGGAAATTAGACCAGAGGAACTAGCCCTCCTTTTTTTATTGTGGGTACAAATAGGAGATTAATCAATCAACATCAGAGAGGACCCGAGCCATTTTTATTGAACAGCTTAGACGAATTTGGGCCCTTCTAAAGGTGATGCCTTTTTTTTTTCCCTTCACCCGCAGATTTGCAATAACCTGTCAATACGTAATGACAGACTTCTGACAGGTTATGTTGACAATAAGAACTTGTTGGTATTGCACGTCCAGATGTCCTTCAATTAGGCATCCACTCTAATTCACCCTCATATGGGGGCCCTTTTACTCTAAGAGAGGATGCCTGTTTCAGTATACATATATGATAGATATGCATATGGTACCTGTGGTTTGCTACAAATGTCAAAGTCAAATTCAGTTGTGGTTTCAAATTCAATATTTTCAACTTGGCCATTTTTCTCAAAATTCTTAATTCTTTCAATCGCACTAACAAAACCACAGGTATGATGATCTTTCAAGCAGTCTGATCAGGGAGGGGTGTAGTGGCATTGCAGAAGAAGAGGAGGGGGGTGGGTGGGAGCTGGGATGAGACTGATTTGGGAGGTCTGTGGGAGGAGTGGTGGCTGGGGTCGGGGTCGGGATAGATCAGGGGCAGTGGGATGGGGGTTCTGGGCTGGCTGCAGGAGGGGAGATATTAGAATTGGTGTTCCAGGTGGACTGAAAAGACTAAATACCCTTATTCTGACTAAAATTGGCAACAAATATCAACCACAAAGGCCATATTTACAAAATGGAAACCACGTTACTAATTGACAATTATAGCAAACCACAGGTCCATTTGACACACACACACACACATATATCATGTGCATATGTAAATCTATACAAAAACACACATGTCCATGATTGGGACAGTCATCTAGTATTGCATCGTTTCAATTAAAAAAAAAACCAATAAAAAACCCATAATAAAGTAATAACATTATCAAATGAAAGCGAACCTGTGGAAGTTCAAAAAAGTGTTCCATAAATATAAAATTTGATCGCCCAACGAATGAAAAGAATTCTGAAGGGCACCCCTTGACAAGTGGCGTACGGCCTCACCACTTCCAAACTCCGATGTGCCATTTAATTTCTGTTCAAAAACATATAAAGTAAGAAAAAATACTAACCTTAAAGCATACAAATTCAAAAAAAAAAAAAAAAAAAAAAAAACAAGGGATAAGAACATTGTGCTGTATGAAATAAGGAAGGACCTCAAGACCATTTTGTGGCTTGCCTTGTCCTGAAACTTTGTCATCTGCTGTCACCCAATTTTCTTGCAGGAAATCAAACTTTGTGTCGTCTATTTTAGATATAAAATCGGTCAAATCAACAGCTTGGTCAATAGCCTTGCCAAGTTTCTGGAGTTCTTCAAGCAGTATGTCACGAGCATTTAACAATGATTTAGCAAGAATAATGTCATTCACATCTGCAGCAGCTGCCTGTGTTGATGCCTAGTCAATAACAAATTTTAAACTGTACACATATATAGAACAGCCTATGAAGAAGAAGGCATATAAAACGCAAAAAAATAGATTAAGCATATTAAAAACCTTTATAGTTCAAGAGCATAGCCAATTTTGAATTTTTTTTTTTTTTATTCAATTACATTGATTCGACCACCCATCTATATTTTATATTGTGCTCAGTACTCTTTATTCTCAATGTACTTCTCTTCATAAGTTTAAAACCTTCTAGTGCTAGGGACTTAAGAAAGATGTCTGGTTAAAGGGAACTGATATTGCCATGAAACTTTTGCTCTAGGCATTCAGACTTAAGCTTTTCGAGTATTAAATTATTATATAATATAAGAATATAAAATAATGAAATCAGTATTCATTGTCATTCAAGCATAATGACCAATCCTCGAATGGTGCCATGCCTCAAGGTGTGCCACACCTCGCTCTCTAAAAACACTACCAAATCTTGTGTATCACAGAAGGGTTTTTTTTTAATTCAATCACCCTTTTCCAAAATGCATGGTTTGGTTAGTAACTATTTGGTGAGAACAGCGGTCAAGAATTGTTTCTCAACCTTAAACAAGTTTATATGTTATTTTTCAACATTGATGTCACTTTGCAGACAATAGATGTGTATTTTTCTACTTTCCAAGTCAGGTTATTTGTAATTCCATATAATAACCATAATGTAATTACGTATTAGCGCTTCTCAGATTATGCAATCCCAAAAAGGTAGCTATAGCCTGTAAATTAGTCAAGTCTGCTCAGTGTATTTGTCTAGTCTTTTTTCCTCCAACAAAAAGTCATTAACTGACATTTATATAATATAATGTGAATCCTAACATAATGTGAAGGACTTCCACTGAATGGTACCCTGATCTAGCACGAAGAAATTTCAAATGAGTGTTTATGACATTTATATAATAAACAAATGCTAAGGATATTCTTGAGAAAAGAGTCCCAAGGATATTGAATATATTAGGGATAGTGAAAGTAATTTAAACTGTTGTAACTAAGGAAATGACTCATAAAGCCCTCTATTACGAAAAATATAAACTTAATGCTACTACAAAGTGAATTCCTTCAAACTGCAATGTGTAGCCATAGGGCCCACAACCATGCAGAACTTTCATGTGCCCAATCATTTGATGTTTGTATGTTCTGGTATTGTGTAAATGCCCTTGGAAAGCACATGTGCATGCACAAGTTATTGATATTGTCATCAAGTACGTGAAAGAGAAAAGCAAAGATGACAAACACATCGAAATACACTGCTAAACAAGATAAAATATTCAAGAGTGAACAATGTCAAGCTTCCCAAGGGCAAGAAAAAGATCTAGTAGAATTTAATGGGTAACAACATACTTGATTGGACCCAGAATCACCTTCTGTACCAACATTTTCAGGAGTGGAAGAATCACTGAAATAAATCAAATCTGAGTTAAATTTACAAATAAATTATGCACAACAATTAGTTTCCAATATCACAAGACTACTAATTTCCTCAAAATGGAATGCCAAACTATGTTATAGACTAGAATATGTGACAAACCTGGGTACCTTCAATGGGTGTGTATAAGAGACAGCTTTCAGTAGACTGATGTGTACACTAACATCAACAAGTACTGCATGGAATACATCAAAATGAACGGGGCAATATGAATGCAAACCCAGAAGAGCTTTAGAAGGAATTCGAAATTCATGGACAGCAGCAGGGCTAGCACCTAGAGAAGCCTGCAAGTCAGACCTGCAATTATACAATACAATCACCAACTACAATTTCAATTGCGAACTTAATCATGTAAGAAAAAAAAAAAAATGAATCATGTCAAACTCACCTATTTCCCAATATGGGGGCATGCAGAAGTTCAAACTTCAAAATAATAGGAGACGATGATATACCCTGAAAAGTATATACTATAAACATGAATACTTTATAATTTATATGAACATTTCTACATTCTACTGGGCTAAAATAGATTATATAATCCTCAAATTATAACACATACTTAGCCAACAATGACAGTCTTCAAAAAGTAATCTAATCTCATTTGCAAATCAGTATTTATTTTTTAAAGAATTTGACCTGCTTGCCTCTAAGATATTAAGAATGCAAATGGGAAGACCAAACAAATTAAGCTAGTAGTCAATGTTATGACGGAAGTAGGTAGCCAACCCAGATACCAAACATGTTATGAGGGCTACCATCTTCAATAAAATCCTTATAAGTCACAAATGCGTGCATACACACATATACATGCACACAGAGCAGGAAAGCGAGAGAGATTATAGTACCTCAAGTCCAGCAAGAGATAGATTGAACGATATCATGATTGATAAAAAGACATCCTGCCTGGCATATTTGATTCGAAACGGCTGACTTGAGAAGCTGTTGTCAGTATCATCAATCCTCCATACTCCATATACATCATCAGAACCCAGATCAGAAGCTGCCAGTCAAACAATTTAATTATCTCTAAATTCTTGCCCTTAGTTTATGAAAACAGCATTACTTAAATTCCACAAGCTTTTAACTGAAGCAAAACATTGCTCTGTAAATCTTAAAAAAGTGGTCCACCCAATGGTCACTATTTATATTTTTAATTTTTAGAAAGAGACATTTTATCGCAAACAAATGGAATAAAAATACAAAACGGATTCAGGGGTTAAGGGGACCACTACAAAAACAAAGAAACGAAAGCAAAGAGAACAAACTAAGAGGCTCTCCCACAACACCACCCAATGATCAATATGGGGAACAAAGAAACCGTGGGTGGATTCTTCTATAGTTTTCTATTAATTACTTTAACTTTGTTCAAGGATTATTTTTAAACCATGAGAATATCCAACAATCTGTTATAAAAAATAGTTGGACCTGGGTAGGTCATGTAAAGTTTTGACTCTACACTGTCTATTATTTAGAATATGAACGAAAGAAAGAATAACACTACAAAACAAAATATGAAAACCTAGCTCTTAAACAACAGCAACCAACTTGTGATAAATTGAGAAAATTCAAAAGGAGAAACAATTGACCATTGAATGTACACACTTTCAATGTAAAAGGGACTTGCCAAAACTTCTAGGGCAGTTTATGATATTTCAATGCCCAGGTTCCAATTTTACTTAAAACCCATCACTGCAACACATAACAAGGTAAGATTTGTAAAATTATACTGCATTATAAAATTTTGTCTTAAACCATGAGTAACTTAGCAAAAGATCTCATACCGTGAGAGTCGAGCCCCATATTTATATATACTTACAACTTACAAGCAAGGAACTTCACATGTATTTATGATTGTACTTTAGCCTAGAAGAGTGAATAAGTAGAAAGCAGCCATAACAACTCCAGTGAAAATAAGTTACCTTCATATTGCACAACTCTTGCTGGAGTCCCCACAGAAGTATATTCACTGTCCTCCCATCTCACTGTAATCTTAATTTGGTACCATCTAAACGAGCAAAACATAAATAAGTTAACAAATTCCCATAAATTCAACTAAGCAAAAAACAATCACAAACAAGCTCAAAATACACCAATTAACAGCAAATGGTCAATTGCCCCTAGTGGGTTACCGCCTTCCTCTAAAACCCACTGCATCCCGGGTTCAAACCCCACACCCAATCCACAAAATGCAGATAGAAACAAACATACCCCTGCTGGAAAAGGTCGAGATTGTGAAATCTGTGAATGTAAATAGCAACCTCTTGAACAGCGTCCAACATAGCCACCGGCTTAATCTTAGCCGGGGGAGGCTTGGCATCTGGCAACCTCTTTGCCGATGATGATTTATAGTTCAGACCCACAAACCACCCCAAATGCGGAAACATGCGTAACCCTAATCCAAAAAATTTGCATCCCTAATCCTCAAACACTTCCGATTTCAGCTCCAGCTCCAGCTTCCCGCCTAATCCTCATCAAATATCACCATCTCAGAAGCTCCATTTCATGGCGGAATTGACCCGATTGTGCTGCCGACGACGAAACGTAACAGTGTGGGGGAGTAGGAAATTCAATCAGCGAGCGATTGTGACTGCGATAATTGGCAATCTTGAGACGATTGTGTGCTGGCAGCTAGGGTTCGTGGAATTTGGGATTCATCATTTGAAGTCGGAGTAAAAAGTCAGAGAAGGGAAGAAAACATCAGGGACCTCACCAACGTGCAATCCGCTAATTTTGTTTGCGCTCTTTTACAATATTGTCCTTGGCGACGGAAACCAATAACCGCTAAAGAATGTCGATCAAATTGCAATTTCTGTCATCCTTCCGTCTATTTTCTTTAACATGTGAAAAGTTTCCTTTGATGTCGTTTCAGCCGGTTGATTTTTTTTTTAAGCAAAAGCGTTGGTTAAATTATTAGTTGTTAGGTGGAGATTGAACATTCACAAAGTGCGGAGTTGTTACGGGAGAGAAACGGTGGAGATTGAACATTCACAAAGTGCAGAGGTATTATTACTTTCTGTCACTACTCTAATACCATATGCATCTCATGCCACTTGATTGCCTCCACCAATTGCCACATTGGCGTGGAGTTTCTTTCTTTATTTATAATTGAAAATAAAACCAGATCTCCCCACCCACATTAGGTATAGTCAAAAACTTGCAAAAGAGATAATGATCGTGAAGACTTGGCAGCAGTGTGGAACCGGCCAAAACCTCTCCGAAAATCAAATCAATATCGAAATATTTAGAATTCAAGCCTTGGCTAGTGAGCAACGAGTGGTATGCAAAGTGCAATGTGTTGATACCTTACATGAACTCTAGAAGGATCCATTAATATGAGTTAGGAGGTGTCCTATTATGGATATTAGTTTGCATCTCATGTTGAAGTAATTCTTACAAACATAGCTTGATAAACAACTACTCTGGCTGAAGATTTTTGATATGGATCTTCAAGTGGTTTTGAGGGATATCTTCTTCTATTGAACAATTAGTAGAAGTCGATAGATTCCTTATTGGGTATTCATGTATCTCCATATCCATACATATAATTATAAACCCAAGTATCACACTTATGGGCACTGCAAAGCAATGAGGGTTTTAAGGTGAAATCAAATTCATACCTACAAGCACAAGATACTAATGATGCCTTAGGTATGAGAACTATTTGCATACTATAACCTAAAGTTTTGTAACGTTTGATAAGCTTTGTAACCTCATGTCAATGTTCAGTGAACTTGTTCAACAGACAAGCATATGTTTATCCACCACAAGTGAAAAGTTGCAATTTTTAATCAGTATAAGGACTTTTTTAAGCGTAAAAATAGTTTAAGAATTTTTTTTTTTTTTTAACCTAGTCGGGGTGGAAAGCACGTGATTGTAGAGAGGATGGTTATGCTTACTCCTACAACTGTTATTTATTTCAGGTATCATGCACAACAATTGAACGAAATAAACTATAATCGTGTGGTGCTGCTACTTGTGATCCTGCCAACTCCTTTTTCGTGGTTTGATATTATGGAAAAGGGATCTGGAGAGGATCTCTTTCCGATATTATGTTAGGTTAAGTGGTTTTGTACAGTACTTTACTCATTCTTTAATTAGCACCTATTTATCTATTTGTCAACAGACTAATGATCAAAGATAAGTCATTGCCCATATTGAGGCAACATGATACGTACTAGTTTTTAGAGATGTTCAACGCCTAAACAAGTCTTCTATGACTAGGACCATATTAGAATATATGACTTACTCACACATGTTGAACTGGATGTAATGGCAGGATCTAATCTCGAAATGAATGATGTTTCCAGTGATATATGGTCATTAAATTGTTGTCTTCGTTACATAATCTAATAATACAATTTGAGTATATGAATGTTACTTTCAATTTTTGTCAAAACTTTTGAGATGCTCAAGTATAGAACAAACTTTGTGTCCAACTTTATTTTGCTACTTGTGCTAACTCTCAAAACTGCGAGGTCAACAAATGACCAGTATGGTCAACTTTTGATGGGTGTAGTGGTAAAACAAGTATGAGAGCAATAATATTTACGTGGTTCACCAATGAGGATGGGCTACGTCCACTGAAGAAATATACTATTATTTGCTAGGAGTTATAAGGGTGCTCAATGTCCAGTAATAAAATTCAATACTTAGGGTACAACTCCTTCGGAGGAGTAATACTCCCCTTTATATAGGCCTCTCTTTACCACAGAAAGTGTTAGGCCTAGGCTTGGCAATTCCTGACACAATCCGATAACCCGATACGACATGATACAAAATTAACAGATGTTTGGGTCGAAACGATAACGAATTGGATTGTTATCGGGTAACTCAAGAAGCACCTGTTAAGATAACAGGTTGGTTCGAGTATACACTTGGGTAACACGATACACGATTAACAAAATATTAATTTTATAACCCTAAAAAAATACTATAATAATTATATATATTAATTTAACAATTTTATACCCCTAAAAACTATAATAATTATATATATATATATTAAATTTAAAAAATTGGTGACCATTGGATCGGCTGAGATTTAATCTCAGCCGTCCATTGTGCATTAGGTTGGACCTATCTTCTCTTCTCTCTCACTCACTCTAATCTATCTAGTCCAGACTTATTCCCGCACCGTCTCCTTAATCTGCATCTCTCTCGCATCCTCCTCCTCACTTCATTCAACTCGACTCCGGCAGCCACAAGAAAACCACACGCAGGCAAGCGCACGCTAAAGGTATGAATTTTGTATTTTTAGGTATTCTGTGTTTTTTTTTTTCAAAAACTAGTAATTTGGGGTTTTCATGAAAATTAAAACTATTTTGTTTTGCTGTACTAGATGCAATGTCTTAATTATTTGTCCCAAGCATTGGCAATTGGCAAGCATGTCGGTTTTTTTTTTTTTTATTGTGAACGCCGCAAGTTCATTTGTATCTATGTTTTATGTGGGGTCTATTTACTTGAAGTTAATAAGTGGGGTCTATATTTGTTTTCCAAATTTGGAGATTTGGAACAAGCAAAGCAATTAAGCAAGGTTGCAACCTGCAAGTGAAAGGTATTTTTAATTGAATTGTGAATTTGAAAGTAAATTTGAATTGGATTGTGATGTGTGGATATGTGAATTGGATTTAGAAAAACCAAATTTTAAAAACCATTCAACTTAGGAGAAGTTTACCAAAATAATTATAAAAAGAAATAAAACAATAGTACTTTACAGCATCCATCACTAAGATTTGTAAAATCTTGCTCTACATCATCCATTGCTTCAAGAAAGAAAAACAAAACTTAAAATCTTGCTCATGCCAATTTCATACCATATCCATTTCAATTTCAATTTCAATTTCACATATCCAATCTTAGTTTATGCGGAAGAGAGTTCTGACTTGGAAAATCTTACTGAAAACATCATCAACATAACTCTTGAAGGCAATAGATCAAGTCAAAGTTCCAATACAATTTCCTCATGATGATCGATAAAAATTGAGGATTTTGCAAAAGGAATAACATGCAATCTGTGAGTTCTATTGGCAAGGTTTAAACTTTTGAGAAGAGCTTCACAACCTTGAAAACAAAAACTCTTTCATTTTGTATATCCGTGCACATTTAATATTTTGTAACAGACTAGTAGTGTATGGATTTTTTTTTTATTAGGCTCTTATTTTCAAGTGAGATGTAGTACTTAAACGACAAATGTGTTTTAATGTTTTGAAGTAATATTTATGTGGCAATGTGTGGTATGTGCAAATTTAAGGAAAAAAATATATATACTTTTCTTAACGGGTCATAACGGGTGTGACACGACATGACCCATTAAGATAACATGTGTTACATGAACAGGACAAACACGACCTATTTGCCACACCTAGTTTGGCCTTTGAAGCTCGAACCGCTCACTTGATGGATGGGTTGCAGGCATGAGTCCCACTGCAAACTACTCATCTTGTGGCCGACTAACGCATGGAGTAGAAGTGACATTTGAACAAGTCTAGTCCTTTGATTTCTATGTCAGAACACTACAACGCAAAGCGCTCGACTATGATGGGTTGGAACGTAGCTAGACCAAGCGCTCAGTCTCATGGTCATGATGTTTCATCATAGACTTCCTTTCAAGTTGATGATCGACGCGTGGCATGGAGTTGACGTTTGGGCAGACATGTCCCTTGGAACTTCATGTCAGAAAGTTGTTAATTATGTCATCCGCCTTGAGCAATCATAAAGTATTTTAAGTTCCAGCACTTGTTACTTTTACTCGGTACTGAGAGATGATGGTTTATTGGTTTGAGTAGTCGAGGATGAGGTTCTTCAACCATGCTTGAGGCAATGCTCGACCTATGGAAGCTCTTGAGCTCGTTCATAGGCTTAGTAACTTGATTTCTTAGCACTCGTAGGCTTTTATGGGCTCAGTCTCAAGGTCTATCTCGAAGGATTATAACTAGGTAACTTTAACGAAAAACTCCTGGTACTGTTTACTTTAATGAAAAACCATATTTTTACACTAAAAAGTCAATCATGTTACTATTTACTTTACCCTTTATTTTGTCATTTTCGTTAAAACTTAAAGTTTTCAAACACTTTTCATTAGTTTTCCTTTATAACTATATATTATTTTAATGTGTCGATAAAGAATCCTGCGTTAACAACTTGATACAAAATGTTCCATTAATTCTTATATGGAAATGTCCTTTGAGAAAAAGAAATATGTTTAATGAGATCACGTACCAGTACCACTCCAAAAACTTTTCCGTTTGTAAATATTAATTGTACTACTCACAAATGTGTCATCGTGTAAATAAAATCAGTATAAATAATTAGTAACTATGGTGTATATGATTATTTTTCTCTCCTTAACTCGAGATCCTGTATTCGATATGCCCTCCCCAAATGGGAAAAAAAAAAAAATTGATGAAAGAAACTTTTCACTTGTTACATATGGTATATAGGAGGCAATTTTAGCCAAAAGACGCAACTAAGGCCAAGACGATGCATGCAAATAATGGTGCCAGTTTCTCTTAATATTCAATTTCGTTTCCAAATAATCGATCAATATTATATTAACTCAATACATCTCTGTCAAACTGTAAAAGAAAAATGCATCTCAAATTAAGGATTTTGACCCAGGCCTGGTTGGATTAGATTGGCATTTTGGGTGACATATAGAAAGCGAAAGTGAATACAACAGTACATTATTCCGAAAATTCGACTGGACCGTGCGAACGTGGTCCCTCTCAGAAAATAAAGCCAAAATATATTAAATTAGAAAAATGAATCAAAACCAATAACG